GTTTATCTCGAATATGCTCCAAAGCTAACATTTGCATTATTTTATTTTCTTCAAGCATCATGTTAAATGTCAATGAGATGTTTTGGTGAAATTAGATAGAGCATATGCCTAAGTACCGTGTCAAATTTAAATACTATCAAGATAGCTTGAGGAACTCCAGTATGATATCGGATTTTGAAAAATGATTGTTTATTATTGAAAAATTAAACTGGAGGTATATAGGGCTGACTTGAATGGTAAGTTTCAAATTGACATGATTATTACCTTGTTGCCAAACTTATTCGGCTCTTTCAGAGTAAACTAAATAAGGAATCAATTTGAGTTCACACTCACTGATATTCTTATAGAATTGGTAACAGATGAAGGGATAATCAAGAGTATGGGCGTTCCTATCAATCTAACCTAATCTATACCATCTTCTTCTAGGCCCAAATGGACGGGCAAAGGAAAGAAGAATGATGATAATAGGACTAGGCTAGCACAAAACATGGGTATTCAAAAGGTTAAAGGGAATAAGGCAGTATAAGTTGAGGGTGAAGGAAACTGTTTCTTTTGCCGCTAACTAAGACACAAAAGGACGAACTGTCTAAGCAATGATGTGGCATAGGAAAATATATATTTAATCATTGAGCCATGTTATGTGGTTGTATCTATTAATTCCTGATGGATAGATTCTGGAGCCACTAAATATGTTTGCAATTCGTTGTAAGGATTTCAGGAATCCAGAAACCTCGATGATATAGATATATATTTGTCTTTTGACCTGATGCCAAGGTTGTAGCTAAGTCAGTGGGAGTATTACATCTGAAATTAGAAGGTATGAGGATATTAGTATTAGAGAACTATCTTTATGCACAGATGTTAGATGTAATCTAATTCTTGTTTCACTTTTGGTTTATACAAACTATGTTGTTATTTTCTAAAAACTGGTTTTATAAAATTGATTAGATGTCCGATTACTTCTGGTGCATTGAAAGATGGTCAATATACTATAACCACAAGCTCTTAATATTTGCAGAATGTCGAAACTAATGTTGCATCTTCTAGATTGAATGTTAAGAGAAAATTTGTTATTCCTGACTCATTGATTTTTAGTGTCTATTTTTGGGTTGTAATCAATCAAAATGAGATTCAAAGATTGGTCAAAGAAGGTTTATAACCTAGTGAGGCAGGGGAGCCTAAACCAACTTGTGAATCCTGTTTTGAAGGATAGATAACCCTAAGGGCTTTAATCAGCCAAATGAAATAGACATAAAGAAAAATTGAAGTCGGTACACACTGACACGTGTGGTATTATGAACATCCAAGCAAGATTACTCACGTTTTGGATAGATTTACCTGTTGCGACACAAGTCTTAAACTTTTGGTATATTCCGAAAGTGTCAAGACTGATGTGGAGCACAGATTATGTAAACTTATTAAAACACTTCGATCTGATCGTGGATATGAGTATTTCTCGGGATAGTGCGAAGACTATATGGTCAATGAGGGTGTTATTGACCAGTTTTCTGCAATTGACACTACATGGATTTAGGTGTCAAAAAGGAATAACAGAATTTCGCTTAACATGGTTAGATCTATGATTAGTTATGCTACATTATCTCTTTCATTTAAGAGTTTAGCGTTAATGATATTGATGCGCATTATGAACTGCATTCCATCTTAGTCTGTCTCAAAGATACTGTTTGAGCTGTGTTTTTTACTAAATCTTAGTTTGAATCACATACACATATGGGGTAGTCTTGCACATATATGTTTGATATAGACAAGTGAGTTGGAAACAGATCATACGCATGATAGATTTGATAGCTACTCTAAAAAGCACTAGGATGGATTATTTTACGATCTCAATGATAAAAGTTGATTATTTACACTCACTGTTTATCTTTAGGAGGATCATATTATGGATCATATACCTAGTAGAATAATATTAGAGAATATGGTATGAGTACCAGATGTACTACATATAAACATACTTATTATAGAGATTAATAATTATATATGAATTCCCTATTGGTGCGTCGGCATCATCTAGTATACAAATTCCTGCATTAGTACATTGATGTAGTGGGAGGATTATCATCCAATCCAATAGAATCATGTTTTTAGGTGAGACCGTTATGGATATCCCTGGTAAACATGAGTTGGACCCAGTAAGCTACACGGAAGCGTGAACCGATATGGATATAGATCGTTTTGGCGAGTTGCTATGAAATCAGAGTTAGAATCTATGTATTCTAATAAAATTTGGGATCTTGTAAAACTTTCTAGTAGAGTGATACCTATGGAAGGAAAGTTAATCTACAAAAGGATACCAGAAGATTTTTTAGTAATTAAATCATGAGTGTATAAGGGAATGTCATTATTTTTCCTAATTCTATATATTGATGACATCCTACTCATTTAGTATGATATGGAAAGTTTCGTCATCAGTAAAGAGGTAGTTATTCAATTATTTTGAAATCAAGGATTTTCAAGATGTAAGCTATATTCCTAGGATCAAGCTTTTGCAAGATCAGGTTAAAAGGAAAATAGGCTTATCTTAATAATCCTACATTGATAAAGTTTTGACCAGGTTTGATATGCAAAACTCAAAGAATGAGTTATTACGTTATTGACATAAATTGTTCTCTCTAGTAAGTAGTTTTCTAAGACTATCAGAGGAGATTGAGCAAATGAGACTGGAACAATATGTTTCAGCATATGGGAGTCTCATATATGCCATGGTCTATACCAAACAAGACATTCGCTATACGGTAGGGATAGTCAACAGATATCAGTCCGTACTCGGACTTGATAACTGGTTTGTTGTGAAAAATATCATAAAGTACCTTAGGAGAACCAATGATCTCATACTCATTTATGGATGTGATGATATGGTCCTAGTCAGGTATGCTAGTTTTGATTTTCAATCAGAAGTAGAAACTATGAGGTTCATGACTTAGTGTATGTTCACTCAATGGAAGGGAAATCAATTAGTAAATTGTTAAGCAAATTTCAACCGTTGACTCAAACCTGAAGGTGGAGTACATTGCAGCCTTAAAGGCAGTAAAGGAAGCCTTTTGGTTTAATCTCACTGATTTAAAGGTTGTGGAGTATACTATCCTGCCTATTAAACTATGTTGCGACAATAGTGCAGAAGTAGTCTAAACCAATGACCCAAGGTTCCATAGAGGAACAAGGTATATTGATAGGAAGTATCATGTCCTACATAAGATTGTCCGGCAAGAAAATGTACTCATGGCTAGAACATTGCATTGGAACACAACTTTATTGATCCATTAACAAAGGTGTCATCGATCAATAGTTTTGACCGTCATCTAGATAACATTGGAATTAGATGCAATTTGAATTGGTTAAGAGGGCAAGTGGGAGCTGTTGGGATTTATATGCCCTGGCATAGCAAATTCTTATTTAGATTATAATGACATATGTTTCTGACGTTTCTGAAATATTTATACTTTATATAATTGGTGAATTCAATGTATTATATTTCAATTCATTATAGAATTGATAGTGTCCACTTGATTACAAGAGATATTTATATATGTATGTGATGGCGATCAATACATGAATATAAATAGTAATCATAAATTGTTCATAGTCGGTAATTATGGATGGACTCATAATTAATTAAGACTTGAACTGGATCCACGTTAGGTTGAGATATATTGCGAGAGCTGTCGTATGCAATTGCTTCCTATCACTGTCATGGCATTTGACTCTTAAGCATGAGAAAAGTATAAACTCTTTTATTAATTAATAATTACTTTGATTTGTTCGGCGGATACTTCGGAATCCTTAGACCGACACTTTGGGTAGTAATGTAATTAATAGTTAGAGGGTTATATTTTCAATATTTGCATCATTGCTACTTGTATTTATTTTGTATTGATTATGGTTGATCACAAAGTAAATTCGAAGGCCTTCGTATATTTTTAGACAAAATGATTTATTATATATTTATTTATTTAAATTATTATTTTTATCAAACAAATATTTTATTGTAATCGACCCAGAAATAATCAAAGGTACCAAAATAAATATATTAATTAAGTAGTTGAACTGATGGCTTTATTTATCCAATAACTAATTATGCATAGAGGGGTCAAAGTGCAACATTGACTTAGAGGTTATTTATTATTTAATTGGAGTTCAATTAATTTCTTTTAGTGGAGTAGAAATTAATTTATGAATTAATTGAATTGGGTCCATGGACCGGGCCAATTATTAATTCATTGTAGCCAATAAAATAATAAGCCCAAAGGATTCTCACTCATAACCCAACTTGATATTGGAATCCTATTAGATTTGAGACATGTGAATTAGAGATTGAGAACGATTTATTATTTCCTTTTCTTTATCTTTATGTTGTCTATATATATAAATGGTGTATGTATATTTTAGGGGTGATTTTTGGAAGAAGGAAAAATGAATATATTTTCTCTCTCTAGAAAATTAGGGTTAGCTTTCTCATCTAATGGAGGCTCTCACAAGCCTAGTTTTCCAAGGTCATTCATGGAGGTTTATGAGTGATTCCTAAAGGCAAAATAATTACCAAGAAGATGGAGATCCAAGGAGAAGGCATATTGCTAAGGGATCTACAATAAGTGAGAATATTTACTTTAGAGGAAAGATTTAAAGGTTTACTCAAACCTTTGATGTAAGTATTCAATCTGTGAAAGATACATCATATTTTATTTTTGTATAAAACTTGTCTCTATGTTATAAATCAAGATCTACGAATCAAAATCTCTCGAAATTTTTTTAAAAATAGCACGTTTCCCAACATTCCTCCCACGGATGGCTGGCCTATATCGACCCTCACAACGGCACTATCTTTCTAACCAATCCTTTAGTCCCCCCTGTTCCGCCCACAATCCGCCTTCCTCCATTGGAAACCATTCAAAAATATTTTTATAGTTGGAAGCTCCCTTACATAAAAAAAACTTGTCATCTCATCTCCTCCATCGTCTGATGATGACAACAACTGCACAGTAATGGTGATTCTAAGCAATGATCATTGTCTTGCATTTTGTACACTAGGTGACACATCCTGGACTTCCCTAGAAGATTATGAATGGATATTTATTCCTGTGGACCTTGTATATTCGAACAAGGATGAACTGTTCTATTGCAAACACGAGTGTTCAGCTCTCCACGCCTGGAATCTCCACAATCTTTCTTCCCCAAGGAGAATTGATATCAAAACAGGCCATTTTTATGGGACTCCGGACTTCCCAGAGTCTGAAAAGAAACTAAGAGATTATAGTTATCACTGCCTTGCATTTGAATCACATTCTGGGGACCTTTTATTGGTTAAAAGGTTCGTGGGGGAGGTTGCAGATGATGGCACCATCATTGACGACTCCGACTCCAACTCTTTCAAGACTCATTGGTTCGTTGTTTACAGGCTCAATACCATCAAAAGAGGATGGAACTATGTGACCGACCTCGGTGATGGAGTTCTATTCATTGGAGGGAACCATGCTTTCCATTTATCCGCTAATGACTTTGTTACTGGCGTATTGATCCACAATTCTATCTATTTTAACATTGATTACGAATGTTATTATGATATGGGCATCTACAACATGCAAGATTTCACGGTCAAATCCATTTTCCCTTCTCATCTTCATGCACTCAACAATATTGAGCACCATCCCCCCATTTGGTTTACCCCTAACCCAGAGAATAAATAATTTATTAGCAGCAAGGTTTATGTTATGATTTTTTAAAGCTAGTCTAACATGTATTTGGAGGACTAAGCAGTTGATTCTCATTACTCTTTTGTGTTTTCATTTCAAAGAAAGATTTATCTATTTCTAACGTCTTTGTTTATTGTTTGACGGATTTATATACCATGGCTATTTAAATTTCAAATTTTATGAACAGGTGAACTAATATTTGATTTCTGATGCTTCTATTGACACACTATTAATTAAATTTTGTTTTTCTGGATTTGTTCAATTGAATGCTATAAAGATTTTGGCTTGTGTACCAAATTAAGGTGAGTTAAGTTACTAAAAAAGATTAAGAAAATATGTTCTGCTTTGGATCACCATTAATATGCTTCAAATATCCAATTGTTGATAATTTCCGTGAACACTGTCTTGACTCTTGTAACAAAATGTGATAAACGACCCTTATCATGTGCTTGGTTTTTTTGTGTACCAAATTAAGGTGAGCCAAGTTACTAAAAAAGATTTAAAAAATATTTTCTGCTTTGGATCACCATTAATATGCTTCAAATATCCATTTGTTGATAATTTCCGTGAACATTGTCTTGACTCTTGTAACAAAATGTAATAAACGACCCTTATCGTGTGCTTGGTTTTTTATCTAATACCTCTTTTTTTTAACTCCCTTTACAATTCGTCATTACTCATTGGAAATTCTTCATCTGAACAATCATGTCAAAATTGATAGCCTAATTTCTAATTTTCACTGAGCAGTAGTAACCTCTCTTCAACATGTCCCATTCTCACAAGAGATTGATAGTTCAAATCCTCGCAAGGGTGTCATTCATGCACCTACAGAATGAGATATGTATGTGTGTTTGTGAGTTTTTATGTATACACACAATATAACAGAGTAAAATGATCACGTCAAGATGGAAGTTTTTTTTTGCGTAAATGATAAGCTTGTATATAAGATTAAAGAATGTACATGGTACCCCAATTAGGGAAACAATAAACAAACAAGGAACAAACAAACATTCCAAAACAACAACCCCAACTATGAGATACAAAAAGGACAAACACACTTATGATCAACATTATAACTTTCCATCAAATTAGTAGTATGATTATTCCAAATTCAGCAAGCTCAGTACCATGAGCCAGGGTGATAGCAGAAGCTGACAACCAAAGAAAGGAGGCATACCCTTACTGAAACAATAACTACATTTCTTGGATAGAATGGATTTTCTTCAAATCAGAACTGGTTCTGAGCTTGGTTGTTGCTATTCTGGCTCTAACACAACTCTTCACCTAAGCTATGATGCTAGTGGATGGGGCTGATATGCTATTTATAGCTCTAGCATTCCTCTCTATCCAGATGAAATAAACAGTCGCAGCCAAAAGTAATTTATGTAGTAAAAAATCAAAGGAGTTCCAATGGGCAGTACACCAATGCAGAAGTTGTGTCCAATTGCCAGGCCTGATGTAGAATCCTACTACTTACTCGAAGAAGAGATGGTAAATGGACTCCCAAGTAGAATTACATAGATAGCAGTTGTTAGTGTAGTGTTTGTCGAGGACAGGTTTGGCATCAAGAGTGTTTAATCTTCCCCTCACTACCATCCATAGAATAAGACTATGCTTAGGTATATGGTGCTTAAACCAAACTAGCTTCTGCCAATAGAAAAGTGGGGAGGGTAGGGTGAAGTACTTGTAAGTGTGTGACATAGAAAACTCCTTTGTGGGACTAGGTAGCCATTCAATAACATCTGGAGTTGTGGTCGGGAGAGGCAGTTCTTGTAATTGAGATAAGAAGCTTCTGGTTTGAAAAAACTGGTGTAGCTGTAAGGTGCTAAGGTTGACCCAATGACTGTTGGAAATTAGGCTATCAACTAGCATGTTATTATGAAGTTGAAGAATTTCCAATTCATTGAGTCCCAACTGCAATGTAATTAGGCCATTTGGTAGCCAGTAATCCAACCAAATTCTTGTATATTTCCCTTCCCCTACCTTGTGCCTTATAAGACCCCTTGCCATTGACCTTAGACCCAAGAGCTTTCTCCAGAAACCTGAGCTCAAACTTGTTGATTTAACTGACCAAAAGCTCTTTGACTTTAAGAGATAAACTTTGGACCATTCCACCCACAGGCTTTCTTTATGTTTACAAATTTTTCAAATATGCTTCAAGTTAGCTACTCTATTGGCCAACTCCAAATCTTGAAAATCAAGTCCACCATTAGCCCTGGGCCTGCAAACAGCATGCCAAGCAACCTTAACTCCACTTTTCTTGAGTTCAACCCCAGTCCAGAAGAAACTCCTGAGCAATTGGTTGATCTGTCCAATACTTTCTTAGGCAGGATGAATGATTGTGACCAGTAAGCTTGGATGGAAGAAAGAACAACCTTGACCAACACTGTCGTTCCTGCATATGACAGGAACTTAGCTGCCCAACAGCCTACTCTAGCAGTAATTCTTTTTAATGAGAGTCTGACAATCTCTAGTATTGATTGAAAATGAGGATAATGGGAGGCCTAGGTACATTACAAGTAGTGTCCCTTCTTCAAACTGGAGCAGTGTTAAGATTATAGACTTTAATCCATTGTCCACACCTGAGAAAAACACTTTGGATTTTGCTCTACTGAGCTGCATACCAAATAAGCTGCAGAATTGGTTAAGTGCTTCCAAAAGTACCTGAACTGAGGCCAAGTTAGCATAAGAAAACATCAAAATATCATCTACAAAGGTTAAGTGAGTGATTAAAAGCTTCTTACATATCCAGTGAAAGGAGAATCCAGCATTGCTCTTAATTTGCCTATTAACAAACAGTGATAGCACCTCCATTGCTAAGACAAACAGCATAGGAGACAAAGGATCTCCTTATCTTATACCCCTTCTTCCTTTGAAGTATCCAAAAAGTTCCCCATTGAGTGAAATTGAAAAGGATAGGGTAGTAATACATTAAGCAATCCAGTTAATGAAAAGAGGGGGAAATCCAAAATGAAGTAATGTATCCAATATAAATTGCCAGTGAATGGAGTCAAAAGCTTTCCTAAGATTAATCTTGATGGCACAGTTGGGAGAGTGATTTCTTCTATAATAACCATTCAATAGCTCATGAGCCAGGATGATATTGTCAGAGATTTGTCTTCCTTTGATGAATGCAGTTTGGGTAGGGCTAATTAGGATGGGAAAAATAGGGCTTAATTTGATGAAGATAAGTTTGAAAATGGTTTTATAGATTATATTACAGCAAGAAATAGGTCTAAAATCATTGGCTGAGGTTGGGTTTGGTTTTTTGGGCACCAAGGCAATGTAAGTGCTATTAATTTCAACTAGCATTCTAACTAAAAGGAAGAAGTCTCTAACAGCTACCACAACATCCTGTCCTATTATTGGCCAAGATTGCTTAAAGAAGTAAGAATTATATCCATCTGGACATGGGCTCTTATAGGGGTGGAATGAGAAAATGCAGTTTTGGATTTCTGTGTCTGTGGGTATTGCTGTGAGTAAGGGAAGTAAGTGAGATGGGATAGTTCTTGTGAACACTGATGAGATAGAGTCAGTACCTGAGTAGCGGCTGGTGTTTTGGCGAAGGATAGATTGGAAATGATTGAGCAGCTCAAATTTGAGATATTGGCCATGAAGTTGGACACCATTAGGATCAGTGATTGAAAGGATCTTCCTCTTGTTAGCCTTGGAATTAAAGCTCTTCAAGAAGAAAGATGTGTTCGGATCTCCCTCCCTAAGCCAGTGAACCTATGATTTCTGCTTGAAAAACATTTCTTCAGCCAAAACAAGCTATGATAGCTACTGTGCAAGCTCCTTTTCTTTGAGTATGAGTGAGTCCTATGATGGGTTTGAGTCCAAGTCCCTCTGGCAAGAGTGTAAATCATCTCTACAGGCTGCAACCCTCTCTGAAATGCCACTGAATTCTCTCTTGTTAAACTGTTTGAGTGGTTGCTTGAGAGCTCTCATTTTCTGCACTAACCTAAACATCCTTAATCCATAGACCTCCATTTGCCAAACTTGTGAAACAATGGTCCAGAAGTTGGGATTGATAGCCCAAAAGTTGAAAATTTTGAAAGGAATGTTTCTTCTATGAGTCAATGATCCAAAGGTAACAATCATAGGTGAGTGGTCTGAGATTCCCTGGGGTAGGAATTGGCATTCAGATTGTGGGAAGGAAGTCATCAAAGCTTGATTGATGAGCACTCTATCCAGCTTGCTTGAGATGTTAGCACATCCAAAGCTCTCATTGGACCATGTATGGAATATACCATTAAATCTTAGGTCTTCAAGCCCATTAGAGTTAAGAAAATCCTTGAATTCCAACATACAGGTGTCCATCTTAAAGCTCCACCAAAAGAATCATTAACATGCAGAAGGACATTGAAGTCACCAAGAAGAATCCAAGGATCAATGGCAGTTGCATTCAGTTTAAGATTCCTCCACAGTGCCCTTCGATTTACAGCAGTGTTAGCAGTATAGATGAAAGAGGCTTGACACTTCAGCTTCAGGTCTTTAAGGAAGATATTACAGGTTATTGCTTTACTGCACTCATTGGATAATACAAACTCCAATTTATATGAGTCCCATAGGATCCAGACCCTTCCCAAAACAGATGAGGAGTAATTGCATTTGATTTGGCACTGTGGAGCAATATTTTATGCACAAAGGCAACATTCCCACTGCTAACTTTGGTTTCAAAAATTGCCATGAGAGACAAGCCCTTGTCCCTTATAAGGAACCTAATCTCTTCTTGTTTGAGGGAAGAGTTGAGCCCTCTTATGTTCCAAGCTCCCCAAATCATTGAGATGAGGTTTTTAGGTTGCATATACCTCTATACCCTTTGAGGGTGGTCAGACCCTTAGCAACTTTTGCCCTTTTGTCAATCCTGGAGTTTTTTAAGTGAGTAAGCTTCCTTGGTTTCATTAATCTATCCACTATAGGTGAGAATGCTGGATCATTATAACTTGAGAGGGAGTCACCATCTAATGAGGAGGCAAGCTCCACTAAGTAGT